AAGATTAGGGATTAAGTCTAACCATTGTGGGTCTATTACAATTAACGTCAGTTGGGATACTTTCATTCGGTAATCATGTGGCAAATATTCACTAATCATGTGAAAAGATTTGGAAATGGGGGGACCAATTAGTAATGGTCTCGCTGTCTCTCTGATGGTACCATTGAATTGTTGATGGTAGCATTGATTCGTTGTTAGTTCCAAAGAACCCTTGATCGTGCCATTTAATTCTTGATGGTTCCGAAGAATTCTTGATGGTACTGTTGATTTGGGATTCAAGAATTAAGATTTAAGAACAGAAACCCCGGCTTGTAAATATGAAAACCTGTTTGTTCAAAAATCAGGTAAAACCATTAGCATATCAGAGCTATCATCTGGGAATAGTGGTGCAGTGTTCAGATGAAGTAGAGAACAAGGGACCCGTTGCGATGAAGGATCTTCAAGTGGGCGACCGCGTCCTTGCGAACGCCAAGGATGGATTCGAGCCCGTGTATGCTTTTGGGCATAGGGAACCAACGGGGGAGGGCACTTTCTTGCGCTTCTTCACTGAGAAAGGCAACAGCGCTCCCTTGGAACTGACGGGAGAGCATTTGGTGTTTGTCCATGGCAAGACAAATCCTGTCCGCGCGGACTCCATCCAGGTTGGGGAAGTTCTGCAAGGCGCAGTCTTGACTGCCAAGGTTTCCAAGATTGGCAGGGTCGTACGCAAAGGTCTCTACGTTCCTCTCACGCCCTCTGGAACTGTGGTGGTCGACGGAATGCAGGCGTCCTCCTATATTTCTCTTCAGAAAGACTCCGCAGAGTACATTGAATTGCGGGGTGGGTGGCAAATCATGCCTTTCCAGGACTACGTTCACTTGGCATTGTCGCCATTCCGATTGGTATGCCAACACGCCCCCCCCCGCCGCTTGCGACAAGTTCGACGTCCATGGAATGCCCTATTATATCTCCTTGACAATGAATTTGAATACATGGGCGAGTCATCAGCATCCCTTGTTCTACTTGGCGTTTTTGCTGGTTGTTGTGGCTCTAACGGGAGCCTGTATGGTGCTGGAGGCTGCTGTTGGAAGATTGGGAGTCCCCCCCATCGTGGGCATGATTGTGGCAGCGACGGTCAAGGCAGCTATGAAACAGCAATGCATCTACATGCGCTCTCAAAAGAAAATGTCTGCCTAGTTTCGAGGTTGGAAGGGTAGTCCTTGCTTCATAATCAACTATCGGTATGCCCATACGGTAGCTCTGTCATTGCATTTCAAGCTGACACAGAAAAGGCATACAATCGACCCAGAATTTGTCGCGGCCAACGACTTGGAGTCTATAGATTTGTAAGGATGTGGATCCATTACATCGCGGCTCTTCACGGCCACTACATGCACTAGCTAGATATATAAACAAAGAACGGACTTGAGAGTCAGCACTTGGTTTTGCCTCGGCAGCGGCAGGACTCGTTAACACCATGATATCCCTTGGCGATGCTAAAATGGCACATAAACTGCTTCGAAGCTTCAGAGTGTAACTCAAGAATTACGTATGCATTCCGCTCACTAACGTTGCCATCGAGACCCAGTTTCTGATTCGGATTGTTACTGTACTGGTGGGGATGCCTCGGGAGGCATTTCTAGTCCTCAGCATCCCCAGCGCTGCAACTGCTGTGGTGGCGATTAGACGTGCTAAGGCACCCCCGACGGAGTACTCCTACCGGTAAAGACTTGTCAGGTAGCTCTTGACAGCTTCATACTGGCGATTGGGGGGCTCAGACGCAATAGAAGCGAATGAAGGGTTCCCCCCGGATGGAACTAGGAGACCACGAGCAACTGAGACGACAGACAAGCCAGCACTAGGGACACCAAGCACTCTTTCCCGCCGCCGCACCGCGGAGGGAACGACATTAGATGGGCTAAGCTGCCTCATCATCAATACAACATGGGGAGGCTGCAGTTGGCTACATTGCCGCCATCTTACGAAGTTCAGTTGGCTGTTTCTAGAAAGTGGAAGTGGGGGTTGGGAAAACTATGGATCTTTATATCAGCTTAAAAACTGTACGTAGCTGTAATCGAATATGCGTATGGAATATGAGGAGGAGAAAGGTTGAACTGAAGCGTGGTTCTTGGCTTCCTTTGCTTTGCTTTGTCATTATGCACTTGGAGGGACGGCTGGTCTATGCTTCCTTTGTTGCGGTGAAGGAGGGCTCTGTTTTGGGACATCCACTACAGTGATGCTAGAGATGGGAAACGATTTTTTCTCATCCATCACGCCATCAAACATTTCCAACTTGGAAGTTTGGCGCTCCAAAAACTCATCCAAGAGCTCAGCCCCTTTCTCCGAGTGCTTCAGTGATCGAATGAAATCGTAGATATCATCCAAGTCGGCTTTCTCAAGTTTGCCGCCATGGCTCTTGGACGCGTTCACGGCCTTGGCGTGCTTGACGTGATAATGATGCGAAGAAGTGTTGCCCATTTTGAAAGATTGGTTTTCTCTTTACTGCTTTTGTTTTTGCTTTTGCTTTGTTGCGTTTTGTGAGTTGTGAGTTGTTTTGATTTTGGGTTGGATATCGGTTGGTGAAAGACTGGCAGCAGCCAAGATTGACCAATGCCTCATTGGAGTCATTGTTGAAGCTGAGGAGTTCGTTTCAAAAGTCATAATTCTAGTTTCGGAATTCTTTCAAGTGACATTTATTTATTGTTCATACCCTGTTCATACTGGTTCTTTCCTAGGAGAAGCTTGAACGCTTGAACCACTCGGCAGTTGAGGGTCGGGCTTACGAATAGATTATTATTACCAGTGTAGAAACAGGGTTGTCGTCCTCATTATGAGAACAGTTGCCCGAAACACAGAGAGCTCTTCTTTTCTTCGGAAACCACGGCTGAGGAGCTTCACAGTTCAAGTTGCGTCGCGGGTACCGGTTACCAGTACCACCAGACTGGTAGGTCTAGCTAGACTACTGGCAATACTCGGCTCTCCGAGTTGCTATCCAGCCAAAGCTACCTGCCAAATATCCACTGCAGCTAGCTAGCTGATAGCTCTGGTATCCACTAATAATAGCTTCTCTACTTCAATCGCCCCTACAAGCCACAAAAAACTGACTTTCCAACAGAGAAGGCTTGAGCTGAATAATGTGTGCAAGAAAGTATGCAATTAATTGGGCTATGAATGAGCATCCAGTATGCATGCGCTTGCTTGACACCCTTTTCCATGAGAGCCCCGCTTCGGTTAGGCCATATCCATGCAGAACGGCTGGGCAAGCAATCTAGCTAGTATTTTCTCTGGGTTGCAGTGCACATCCTACAGCCTACAGCAACCACGCCGTATCACCAGCCACAGTTGCTATCGGTACCTGGTAAAGGTTTTTTTGCACCCAGAGAGCTTCCAAACCCATTCCCTCCGTTCAGAGGAAGTAATTATCCGCGACAGATTCGATTCGATTCAAGGCAGCAACAAACAAGCAAACATGGAGGGCTCGGCTGGACTGAGACTCGAGCGACAAAAGCCTTCCAGAGCTCAGTACACTGTGTACTAGCTCCTAGTACCTGTAGAAGTGGGACGTCTTTTACTTACTTCGATTGCTTCCCCTCAGGCAAGCCTGGTAAAAACTGTTTGTGTTCATGCAAGGCAGAGCTGTGGTAGTGGCCCAGGTAGTGGCCCCATGAATTCCCGAAGCCATTTCCATTCAAGGCATCCGGGAGCAGCTCCGGGAGCTGTCCAAGACTGCTTGTGATATTTCGGACGATGGAGGATGGCATACCCACACCTTAATTCGTTTGTTTTGCCGGAGTTCTTGCGCGTCGTTTTACAGTGCTTCCTGACAGCTATCCATGCATGTATCCAGTATCCAGTATCCAGAGTGTATCAAGGCATCGATTGATGGCAAGATGGCAAGGAGCATGGACGCCATACAGAGCTTAAGCCACACAGGGAATCGAATCCTGCCAACCCACCATTGCTCCTCGTTTCATCGCGTTTCATCAATCGATTGGATTCGATTCCGGCACGACTCTCTAATTCCGAGCTGTGGCCTCATTCAAGTGGCTTTGGTTGGCGAACGATGAGCGGCAACATGCAACCTTATACAGTCGCTCCAAGGTCGTAGACAAAAGCTATCGGTGTCATGCATGTACCGGCAGCTGTGTTTGCGGATATCGCTTCACTGCGCTACAAAACCATCTTGCTCGATAACGCGGGTGAACAAAATTTCATCTAGCTAGCTAGTAAAGAGTAAAAGGTGGCTGGGTGCTGCTTTCTGAATGGTTCTTCTCTAAAGAAAAGGAAGACTGCGACCTGCGGGACCGCCCCCCATCGCTATGCCGCTATCCACCGGCAGCAAGAGCCACCAGGTATTACTTTGCACCAACTAATACTTTAATCACTTACGTTTGTTGGTCATCCGGTCTTGATTCGATTCGAATCTTGGTGATGGTGCAAGTTGCAAAAAGCTCTCCCTGCCTGTTACACCGTAGCTGCGTGGAAGGCGACTGGGAGCTCAACCAAGACGTCAATTACAAGCAAGATCTTGTAGAGCATCACGTTGCTTCTTGAGCTGTCCGTAGAGTATTCACCTCGCTCCAATCCATCTCTTGGACAAAGCACAAGAAAGCAATGGAGGGGGGAAAGCTAAGAGGTGCCTTCTGCTTTTCTGTAAGATACGTAACCTTTACCCTACTGCACAACATCTGTCAATCTCTTTGTTGTAAATCCTGGATCGATACCTCAACCAAGGAACCCGCCATGGTGGCGATGCTAATGCATGTAGAACTATGAGTCAAGAGGAAGAAAAGGAGAGAACATCTGCTCTAGCAGATCTTTCTAGCAGTACCACTGGTAGTGGTCGTCATTGGAAAGGAAGCTGCCTCTGCGGTAAGATCCGTTATCGCGTCAAATCCTTGGCGTCCACCAAGATGGCACACTGTCATTGCACAGATTGTCGTAAGTTCCATGGCAGTGCCTTTTCTACATTTGGTGAAACCACCACTTTGGAATGGATCGATCGTGATGAAGCTCGGAAGCATCTACAAACCTATGTGGCGACCAATGGCAGCAAGCGACAATTCTGTCGCAACTGTGGATCGAGTTTGACTTTTGCCAGCAGCAACGCCGATCCTGGTTACATAGAATTCGCATTGGCCACTCTGGACGAAGCAAGTGATGGATCGACAGTTGTGGAACCGGATGCACATGTGTTTGTGGACAGCAAAGTGCCCTGGCTCAACATTGACAATGATGGGCTACCTAAGCATGCAAGAGGCCGAGCGTGAGTAGTAAGGAACCAACAATGGCCACGAACTGTTAGCAGTAAAATAGGTCAGGAAGAATCACCACGGAATCGATGGCGCCAAACAACCTTGTGATGCTTCGAATTCGAAGAGGGGAAAAATCGTTTCTATTTTCCATATTTAGTTGAACCGAAACACTGAGACAGGGCAAGAGCACCCTAGACGAGATCTAAAGCGCAATACTTGTTTTCAATTGCATGACCCAACGACAAGGTTTTCCTGGACATGCTCTTTACTTTTTAGCTGGCAGTATAGGAGTGGCTAGACGGCTAGACCAATTGGCATCGGCCTTGGGCTTGAGACCAGTGTCTTTTTCCCACACGGCTTTGGTATCCAACTCTTCAGTTTTATAGAAGAGCATGAACTTGTCGTCCTGGATGAAGAAGTTCATAACATCCACTAGGGTCAAAGAACCATGAGCCATACCGATTCCACGCCAGCCTCCGTACTGAGGACCATACTTGGCAGGTTATGCATCAAACGTTGCCTTGGCTTTCATTGTTGGCAAACCTATATTTTGTGGCACCCAAGTCATGGCTTGTGTAGTCTTCCATTCCTCTCTTGGGTGGAGGACCAAGAAACCTGCCACGGGACAGGTGCATGTACTTTCGCACCCCTCCAAGGCAAGCTTGTTGGGGAGGAACGCCAGAGGACCTCAGGGATACCGTACCGGTATGTGCAGTCTTTCGGGTCATCCTGTGCGGTATGTATGCTTTTGTGGCTTACATGTAGCTTGTGTCCTCTTCCTTCGCAGCTCCACAGTAAATGAATGAATCCCACCGGGAATGCCGAAAACCTTCTCAGCAGATCCAGTCACAGTCCCATGGCAGCTGCAATTATGCATACACCGTTTGTGGCGCTCCCTCGATGCAGTGGCTGTGCGTTCTTATCCTATCGATTTTTTCCACAACAGCTCCAATAACAGCTCCCATAACTCAGCTTCAAAAAAGTGCAAAACACAACACAAAACCAATCAGTATTATGACCTCTTGGCCTTGGATGAAAGACGTTGCGGTAGCAATAGCGGATCCTGTTGCACCAGTCTGTGATGATGACAAAAGGCCTGTGGTCAAAGATCTCTTGAAGGAACACTCTGTCAAGATTGCAAAGATTAGGTCCGCTCTGGAGGAGGATCCTCTTTTTGATCATTCCAACAAACACGATGACTTGTGGATTTTGAGATTTCTCATGAGCCACAAGAAAACCAAGCTGGCCATTGCAGCTGCCAAGGAGACTCTGTTATTCCGCCAAAAGCATGGGTTGGATGAAAAGGATATTCGCAGTGAGCCTCCCCACAAAGTAAAAGCCGGCTGTGTTGCAGAGGCTTGGGAAAAGCGCTATCCAGGAGGCGCTGCTATCTCAGTGTTGCCTGACAAGCAGAGAGGTGCCATCATGTTCATCCATTGGAGACAAATCAATCACAATGCCGCCGATGTCATTGATGTGGATACTTGGGAATATGGCTTCATCTACAGCAACGAATGGACTCATCAGTGGACAGACTATGTGACTCGCACTACTGGAAGATTCACAAGTGCAGCACGGTGCATTGATTTGGAAGGAGTCAGGTAAGACAGTCCATCACCTTGGAACGACTCCATAGCTACAACTCCATCCTCTTACACTTTGTTTCGTGCTTCCTTGCTTCTTCCAGCCTTGTCAAGCACTATTCACGTGCTGCTACTAAGCGTGACGGCAAGATTATGAACGAAATGCAAAACTGTTATCCACAGATGCTTGAGAACTATTACCTCTGCAACTCTCCTGACTGGATGCATCTTATCTGGGTCTTGGTCAAACCTATATTGCCTCAGCGTGTATTGGAAAAGACAAAAATGATCTCTCCACAAAATCACAAGCAGCTGCACAAGTACATGGATGAACATATGATTCCAGTGGAGATTGGAGGTCCAAATCAGACACCACCAATGTACTGGTGAGGAAAAGGATGTGGGAAGGAAGGCATTGGAACTTACAGCCAAAGAGGTTGTTACCTTACCATTGTAGAGGAAGAACGGATCAAACAAGAAACTGTGCTAGAGTATAGTGAAGTCAAAACATAGTAAAGCTCCCCACTCAGCCATCCTGTCTTGATTTCATCCGTCGGCTGCGGTGTAGCGGGCTCATTCACCGACCATAAAAAGCGGTAGGACATACGACCTCGCTTGCTAGCTAGTGGTGCAGGTAGTGGATTCTAAACTTATGCTTCCAGTCAGAATGAGCTCATCTATCTTTTCTCGAGGAGTGCTGTGGAATGTCAGCGTGATGGGTAAGAGAGAAATTGGTACGGCTCCATCACTACCGGTACCCTCCCGCGAACACGGTCTGGGAAATGCATGGGTCCGTGCTCGTGGGGTGGCCGCTCAGTTTTTCATTCTAGCCCACGCGACCACTATTGTGCACAGGCAGTTCGTGAACTTTGCTGGTCTTCCTTGCCTCCAAGTACATGTAGTTCTAGCTAGCTGGCTAGTAGTCGCTGGAGCGAAGCAGTATCATTAATTTTTTCTTCTTTGTAGGCACCAGGCGTGCAATTTTGCGGAGTTTGCATCGGAAACGTGTCAACGAACAAAACCACAGCAGGGTCCGGAAACGGGGTTGATTGTTAAATCCACTACTACCGTTTCGACCAAAACGTCATTTTAGTCGTGTCAAATTTGAAATCAAAATCCAATCGTGCGAACGCACCTCTGCTGGCTTACCGTTAACCAGCTTGCGTGAAACTAGCCGGCTTGCGTGAAACTAGCTCTAGTTTCACGTCGCGTGAAACTGCGTGAAACAGTGCGTGAAACTAGCTCTAGTTTCACGCACTGTTTCACGCAGAAGTGGAAACAAAGAAGAGAGGCTTGCTAGCTAGCTAGCAGTAGGCTCCTGTCGACACACACACCTAGCTAGCTAGCACCAAGTCGACTTACAGTTACCGTACTAGTAGTAGTAATAGTGAAGCAGAATTTGTCCCATGAGCAGCGGGAGCGATGGTGGAGAGTCTGACGGTGAAGTATCCGATTCATCGGAAGACATTGGGTCTCGACTCGACAAGATTTCACTTGCAAAGCGGCAAAATGTGGAAGAAGAGTTGGGAGAAGAGATGGCTGATGACGACAGAGACGAGGATGATGAAGAAGAAGAAATGGCCGCTCGTGGAGGAGGCATGGCGCCTGATCAGCCCAAAGAAAGTGCAGAATCAGTGGCACCTTCTGCTGCTGCTGCTGCTGCTGCTGCTGCTGCTACTTCTGCTGCTGCTTCTGCTGAGCTGTCCAAGCTAAAAGTGGCCCAGCTAAAGGACAAATGCAGGGAGCTCGGTCTCAAAGTAGGCGGAAAGAAGGAAGAGCTCATCCAGCGGCTCTCGACAAACGCTGGCGGGGAATTGGAAAAGGCCAAAGACAACAACAAAGAAGCAGACAAGAATGATGCCGAGAAGGCTCCGACGTGGACAAAAAGTAAGGCGAAGGACACTTTATATGATATGATTGTCACCGGGAAAGTCCCTTCAAAGGAGGAGATCACACCCAAGGAACTGTTTGAGCAGTATTTGAAGCATTTACCAGAATACAAGTATTTTCAAGACTACACCGCACTCGGCTTCGCCTCAAAGTTAGGATACCTTCGTGATAAAGCTGCAGAAAGACAGGACAGATCAAGGGATGATGCGAAAGCATTAGAGCATGATAGACTCATATATCCCCCCAGGACAGAAGACACCAAGGGTCGGCCTATTTGGGAGGGGTCTCCTGCACAAGAGCAGCTTCGTAAGGACATCAAGGCTGGTAAACAAAAGGATCTGTTCCCAAGACACCTCTACGAATCACAACAAGTCTATTACGAAAACTATGATCTGGATTTCTTCAGAAACAAGATCTATCAAGTGGAAAAGGCAATGAAACGGGTTGCATGGGTCAAAGCCACAGATGAAAAGAAGAAAAAGAAAAAGTAGGAAGCTCTTGAGGCTCAGCCTCTCGTTGTATTAATAGTACTAGTAGATAGCTGGCTGTCCTCGTCTCGTTCGTTCCTCGATTGTTTCATTACTGTAGCTAGCTAGCTAGTAGAGCCAACCGGAGAGCTACAATCGTAGTCTAGCTAGAGCTAGTTTGTAGGCAGCTAGCTGTCTAGTTGTAGTAGAAACCCCAACGCTAAGCTTAATATCTTCGGAATTCAACACCACCAATCAGAATGGAGGCAAATTGGCGACGTGGCACCCGTGTCAGAAGAAGGCAGCTGAGGATCGCGCGAGGCACGAGGCACAAAATCGAGGGCGATGACCAAGAGCCGGGCAGGGCGGAGCAGCGTTAAAATCACCCGGGAAACACGAGGACTAGGCGCATCTAGCAGAGCAAGCGCAAGCGGTGGTGGGAGCCAGAGAAGTGAGCGTCGCAGTTAGCAGTCTAGCAGAAGACAACACCAACGAGGAGGACGACCGAAGCTCTACGACCGACGGGGGCGACGACAGCACTGCCGAGTCTCTCGTACGCGGTTCGTTCCTACTGGTACGCGCTTTTCGAGCCCTGCACGTCAGTAGGAAGTCGTGGACCCGGGAACCCAAGACAGGCCCCGCAGAACGAACGCGGCAGGTCTGGAGCTACCGTTTCAGAAGTTTCTAGCGGAGACATCCTGCGGGGAGGTATTGCCGGTTGGAACATTACACAGCTTTCTTCAACAAACTAGCTAGCAAGGACGAGTCTCGAGCCAGATTTTACGGTGAGAGGAAAACCAGGGAGCGCTTTCGAGTCGAGAACAAGCTCCGAGGTTGGGCCAAACTACCGGCCGACGAATTCAACGAAGTTCTACGTGCGCTCGGTGTGTTCGGCGGTGGCAGCTTCGAGCTTCCTGTCGAGGTGGGCGTTCCAAAAAGCAAGACTGAGGTGAAAAGCAAGGCTGCATCGGCAACGACGAAGAAAGGGCAAAAGGCAGCAGCTAAACCCGTCCAAAAGGCAGCTAAACCCAAGACAAAGACAACGGGAAGTGTTCCTGATTTCACGAACTATCGAGAACCCAAGCACGATTTTCCAAGCGAAAGCGAAGAAGAGAAGGAAATGTCAGCCACCAAGAACAGTACCGCTGATCCTCCTGCAAAGATTGGATCTATGATCCAAATTGTGGATGGCGTTCCGACCGGTGAGTGTACGGGTTCCATGTTTCTATCTAGGCGGTAGCCTCAGTCTGCTCACCTTTCCCTCCCAACCTGCTGTTTTCTAGAATTCATTTTTGTAGATATTTCCGGTCTGGAGTTTACGCCTGGGCCTTTCAAGATTTATCCTAGCAATGAGCTGCCTGGGGTGGACGACAACATGGAACACTCCGGCTTCTTTGTCACCATGAGAGCTGATGTCCGCGATATCATGGGGGCACCAAAGCAAGTAAAGGATGGTGTAGTCATCCACAAGGCTTAAACCGTTCCCATTTCAGTGTACTGTGCAGGGGGAAAACAGGCTCAAGGTTGTTGCTCCATTGCTGGATTTCACGGACAGGGGCAACGATGATGAAGCCATCCGAGAAGAATACTTGGACACGCGTCGCGCGATGATGAATGCGATTGATGTGGCAAGGAATGATTTTCACGATCGAAATAAGAAGGCACAGACTGAAGTCAAGCACTACATCTTGATTTTCCTGAAGATGTCGTGTTGGACAACGTGTGCCTGAAGGCAAACTCAAGAAGAAAAAGAAAAGCAAGAAGCTGTCGAGAGGGCTATGCGTGATTCATGCCATCAACATATCGGCTGATCTGACAGATGATAACCTGTCTTCTTTCGAGGCCGAGAATATCACTGAAATCACAATGGGCGACAGAATTATTAGTGCCTACCCTTGGTATCGTCAAAAGGTCCCTCGTCTCCTCTGGCACGTTGCTAATTTGCAAGGTGAGGCGAAGCAGAAGGGCCGTGGGGAGGACTCAGATTCTTCCGAAGAAGCCGATGGGGTTGCAGCCATGAAAAAGAGTGGTTAGTGTTGTTTGGTTTTTCGTGTGTAGTGTAAGACCATTATAGCAACTTGTCTCATGTCGTTGTTTGTTTCTCTCTAGCGACCAATACAAGGGTGCCCGCATCGGATCAGCAAAATCGCCCCATGGACGTAGACGACGAATATGAAGAAGAAGAGCAGAAGAGTCCTTTTCGGACGAAGATGAAGGGGACGCCGGCAGTGACGATACTCAGAATTTGATGAATAGAGTGAAGGAAAGGCTTGGACAAACTGACGTCTCAGCCACTGGAAAAGCGAAAGCGAAAGCGGAAGCGGACAACTTTGATCAAGTGGAGGAGGACATGCTATCGACTATCAACGAAGGATCCAGCATCCTCAAAAAGATGAGCCTGGAAGATGGCACCGAAATGGGTGGGGAAAACGCTCACCTGAAGAGAACCCATGATGAGGCAGAAGAGCCATCAGAATTTGCCGGGCTAGTGCCCTTTGTTCCTGTCAACGATGGTCCAAGCCAAAACCTTCAGCAGCTTCAGGAGCAGATCCAGCAGTTGCCACCCGAAGTACAAAACCACATTTTGGCTCAGCCTAGAGAGAACCAAATCCAAGCGTTTTACGCTTATTTGAACTCAGTCTTCGACAAGCTGACTCCTACGGAACAGGAATATGTCAACAGCTTTCCCGCTGAAAGGCGTTTTGACGCCATGAAAGAGACAGTCCAGGCCAAAGAACGGGGAGTTTCAGATGGTCCGCTGCCAGATCCAGCCCCATCGGGTGATTACTAGCTAGCTAGCTGCTAGCTGGCTAGCCACGGGCCATTACATTCCAGTCGTCAGGGGAATCATGAATGGTCGTACCGGAGTGTCGCAACCGTTGGCTCCATTATCGTGGGAGCCAGCCCTCGAAAGAGTCTGTCAAACACACTTCGTAGAGGAGATTTGGGTTCTGTACCGTTAGTCGCCGTAGCAACAATTAACGTATTAAACGGGAATACTACACTTGACAGTACGAGAAAAGTCGCACACGATTGTGGTGCAGGAGCGCGGTGAGTGTAAAACGACTGAATCGTGAAAGTTTCCACGTTGATTAGGAGCGAACAGATGCATCACGCTGCGATTGAAGGAGGCAAGCGCACACACGGAGCCATCACGCTGCTTGCAACACTTGTTGCGTTACATTTCGCTCACTTCTCAGAGCATTCGACACTTGACAACGCTACTAGTATTGCTTCGGAAATTTGACAACATCACAATGGACAAAGGCGCCGCCAAGGATCCCCAAGCGTTGCTTCGTCACGTTACCAATGACAGCGAAACTGCATTAGCAGAAGTCGGGCAGAAACCTGCGAGCTACTATTTGACCTCTCAAGAAGAATTACTCTTTTGCGAAAAAGCAGATTCTTTCTTTGTTGATAACCGTGCCCAAATGACCAATATCATTGCGAGATCTGTTGGCGGCCAGAAGAACCTTGACATTGCTGTCGAGCAGGCGAAGCTTCATGGTGAAGAACCTTTCTTTGAGGGTGGAATCGTCACGTTTGCAGCTGATGGATCCATCCGCCACGAGAAGGAGGTTGGCCAGTCTGGTGGCAGTCCCGAATCGGAAGACGCCGATGAGAAAGGCGACAGCGTGGAGGACCCCAAGGACAAGGACGACGAGGACGAGGACGAGGACAAGGACAAGGATCCCCCCATGGAAGACAACGATGACGACAATGACAACGACGACGACCGTCCCCACCCCAAACTGCTTCCTCCCGGTCGCACATGCGTGCTTTTCATTCGTTGGTTAGACGCTCCCCTACCACCTATGTCACGCGTTTTCAGGACACGTATCCGAGTGGGCCCTGACGTCAAACTTGGGCGAGCGTTTGATATGCACAAGGAGCAAACATTTAAGAGGTTTGATGAGCTGAATGCTGCTAACACTCAGTTCACATTCACTCGAGGACCGCAGGAGCTGCCCATGATTGTGGATGCCGACGACACAGTCAACGGCCTTATTGGAGAACGTCTTTTTGATCCTCCAAAGGATAAGGACTCTGAGCCAGAGTTGACCTTCGATGTGCAATTGGCACGAATTGTGCACCCAACAGGTTCGGTTCGTCAGCGTGCCAAAGTTTTCATTCACTGCTGGCGTGAAGATGATACGGAAGCAGCACCAGAGGCCTGTCAAGGACTTTACTTGCTGGGGTCTCAGGAACTCTTTGAAGGAATGTTCGATATCTTCTTTGACACCACCATGACGAAGTTGAGCTTGGACCCAAGCCGCTATCATATTGTTTACATGGCTGGATCAAGCCAAAATCCCACGCCTTTGGCTCGCGATGATACATTGGACAGTCTTCTTCAAGACAGGGTTGATGTGCAAGTTGCTGATGGTGACTCTGAGGAAGACGAGCGAGCTTTCCATATTACTGCGCTTCTAATGGAGCGTACCGGTACCGGTGATGACTCCGACGCCCAGGAAGGACAGGTGGCTGCCACTTCCTCTGGTCGCAAGCAGGCAGGGCAGGTGGCTACCGCTTCCTCCGGTCCCAAGCAGGCTCCCGCCAAGAAAGGAAGAAAGAAACGAGCTGCAAGCTCAAAGAATCTGCGCCAGAAAAATGAGCAGTTGAAAAAAGCCATGGCTGGCAAGGCTGGCTCTAAGACCAAGACCCATGAGCCCTCTGATGTGGACTATGACGAAGACGACGACGACGACGACGACGACGACGACGACGACGACGACGACGCTGATTTCGCTGTGGCCCGCGACGTGAGCGAAGAAGAGGACCTTTGGGTGGATCGTGATGACGAATCAATCGTCGACGGCAAATCTTACAAGAAGCAAAAAGCTACTGGTGGCCGTGGTGGAAGAATCAGCGCGAAGTCTGGTAGTCGAAGCAGCCGCACGCCATCTCGTGGGGGCAGGGGCAATCGGAAGCGGGCTGCAAACACCCCTGCAGAAACACGGTCTCAGCAAATGGACAACCGTGTCCGTGAAAAGCTTGATGGGTGTGAAGCTCCTCTCTTTACCGCCATGAATATGTCTCGGCCTGAGCATTTGTTGGCATCATACAAGGAACCTGATGGTTCGGATACTGAGAGTGTTGTCAATGAAAAGAAGTGGCCTAAGGTTGTCCCTGGATTGTTCTTTTTCACTGAGCAGAAACCCAATGCCAATGGAAAAGGAGGTGGAGAGTTCCTCAAAGACCCAGCAATTCACTTCTGGACTGGATCGGATCAAATGAACGACGTCTTGTCGTCACATCTGAAGAAGAGAGGTCTCAAACGACATTATCATGCGACCTATCTTGATTTCAAGACGGCGGTTTTTGGCCACGAAAGTATCAAAGAAGCGCAGACGAACAAGACTCGTAAACGCACATTGGAGACTAAGACGAAGAAGCAAAAGAACGGGAGCGACTCTGATTAAGGCAAAGGTGTCTGCTGCAAGGTGTGTTCTCATGGGAACCAACCATCCATTTTGTTTTCTTGTCTTGGCTGTCCCTGCTTGATGCTCCCACGGGAGCCGTTTGTGCGAGGCCACTACTCTAAATGTGGAAGCACAGGATGGCTTCAACGACTACACGTATAGAATCTTGTGTGGTTGATTGTTGCCTACGCTGCTATGCTATCGGTCCGGCTAGCTTTCAAATAACAAATAAGAAACTAATGAAAAAAAATTATCTTAGGCTCTAAAAAGCGGGAACCCGCACTCCAATTGTAGCTGTGGCAAGGGAAAGCCAAATGTGAGTGACGCGCTGCCAGGGAGGATAGAATAGACGAACAGGGCTTTGACTTCCTACCTGGCAAATGACGGCGCAGGAGTCAAAGCAGAGCTGGTGCTTCACCTCCGACCCCGTGACCTCGCGGTAACGAGCCGGCCCCTTGTCACCAGGGAGCCCCGTGTGCCGAAAGCAGTCCTCCAAGACATCAAAGCACTTCAATCGGCTGTTGAAGACTTCTTGCCTGATGACACAAAACACAGAAATCGTAATAAGATCAAACAGCTGCAAAAGGAACGACCGAAACTGGATCACTTACCGGGACAGAACACGAGCTTTAAACTTTCTCACTGCATCCGTATCCGCGGAGCTAACAATAGAAAGTACACCCCTCTCTCCCCGGTATCCTTTGTCACCAATGGCCCGATGCATGACACCACTTGCCGCTCGAGACTCCAGAATCTTAGCCTTCAGCTTGTGGCGGAAAATTGTGATATCAGGCGTCCCAGCAGGGTAAGGGCCTGCCACCCAAACGCACCTGTCTTCAAAGACGGACAATGCAACCTCATAGTCGTAAGCTGCAGACTTGAATTTGTGAGAGTAGTATTTGGTGTTTTCGGAGAATGCTTCATGTGTTGGCTCCTCAATGCGGCAGTGGGTGCCATCAACGGTGATAATGAAGATAGTTTCAGAATCAGGGTCTTCTGGATTGTCTGGGTTGTTCCATTTCGTCGGCCAGACAATGATTTCAGGCTTCAGCAATGCAATCTTTTCGACAATTTCCCACACCCAGTTTCGCCACGTTCGATCGCTACAACCAAACTTCCCTTCGGCTTGCTCCTCTGTCGGGTAGCACGCGAGGAAATAGATTGACATAAAGAAGTATTTCACCTTGCCATCAACACCAATCCTCTTAATTCTGGGGTCGACTTTAATGTCGAAGCTGAGGTTGGCCTTCTCGTTCTTCGTCTCCTGAAGCTTGACGAGCAGGACGGAATAGACGGATGGGTCGCTCGAGTAGTGGGTACGGAACCGCGATAAGTTCTTCTTATGCTGAACAGAGTTCTGCCGTTTCGCTTCGAAGCCCACCAACTCAAGCCCCCTGAGGAGGACTTCTTAGGTCAATAGGACTGTTCAATCGTGAAACCAACGTCACAAATTACTATTGCCGGATCGTCCAGTGGGTGCTTGCACTGTTTGCTCGAATGTTGGATCTGCTGTGGGAGATGATGTTAGAGCCCAATTTGTAGGCTCAAATGTTGGCTCTGGAGTTGGTGAGTTCGTTGGTTCGCTCGTGATGCCAGTGGTTGGTTGAACAGTTGGTGTTGTTGTTGTTGGCTCAAATGTTGGGGAAGGTGTTGGTAATGGTTGGTTCGTTAGTGAAATCCTGTGGTGGCTGTGAAGTGCTTGGCAGTAAAACATTGTTGCTTCCGTCAGTGGCAGTGGGTGTCTCTGCTGTGCTGCTTCCTAGTGAGCTCTGAGTTGGATTGCTTTGAGGTGTAGCTGGTACTGAGGGGCTGCTATTGATAGTGGGGCCATTTGCAGTAGGGTTATTCTCAAGAGCGGGAGACCCTACTGGGGAGAGCGCAGTTGGGCTGACTCCAGATGGTGGGCTTTCTCCACCGCCTATAGCAGATGGAACTGGAGCATGTATTGAGGGGCTTGATGGTTCACTGGGAGTGACCCCTCCAGCATCGGGACTTGAGGGTAAGCAGAGTTGGCAATCAAAGGAGAAGGAGCACTTAGAGCAGCTGGGACAGTGCCTAAGGTGAGACTTGTTGGCAGACCGGGAACGGCAGGGGGTAAATCAACATTGGGAGGAGCTGGTACGTTTGAATCCGCAGTTGGTTCGGTCCTTCCTGTGGAGCTGCCAACTGATGGGACAGCTTGTATTGTTGGAACATTGGCTGGATTACTTCCTTCAACACCAACTGGTGTCCCTGCAGAAAGGCTTGCCGGTGAACCAACAAGAGGAGCTGTAGCTGGACTTGTGGCTGCAGCTGAAGGGGCGTTGCCATTGATTGGAGCACCGGCTGGACTTGTGACTGGGGCAGATGGGATGCTGGCAGTGATTGGGGCACCAGCTGGACTTGTGGCTGACACAGAGGGGACACCTCCCGGTGCAACACCTGGTTGAAAAGGAGTAGCATCTGCTGAAGTTTCAGCGGGTGCCTCTGGTTGAAAAGCATCAGATGGACCGGTTTCTCGGGCAGCCAATTCACCTACAGGATCTGCATCCACTGGATTGCTTGAATTCCCAGTACCTGGTGAGGCTGCAGAGGAACCATCTTGGCTTGCACCCTGGTCTGTATCCATTTGGCTATCATTTGGTTCACTGGCCCCAACGGGTGTTGATTCTTCCTCAACACCACTTGTGCTATCAGGGCTGGACTCTTCAGAAGAAACATCTGGTCCTGCATTGTCGGATCCATCAACGTCTGCCGGGCCTTCACCTGAAATGTCCAATTCATCATTTGCACTGTCTTTGAAGGCTTCATTAATGCTTTCATCTCCAGGTGGTCTGTCATCTTGGCCAGATTTCTCAGGCGCTTCCAACAGAGTTGGCAAGATCGATTGGCATTGCAATGATGATGTAGGATCTTGCACACAACCAAGAACAGTTTCTGCATCAGCTCCCACTGATGCAGATGATTCAACAACACTTTGGCAAAAGCCAGTGCCTGCCAATTCGGATTCCGTGTTGAAGCAATCTCCAACATCATTTAAATCATTCGTGACAAAGGCTGCCACAATGGTCCCTCCATTCTCCTCAACTACAACCATGGCTGCTTCGATATCTTCCTCTCCAACAACACCCACAACTCCATTCCTATCCACGGTCCCACCAGGATTGACAGGTCTTGTCAGTGCACCCACAATGCGGGCTGAACTTGTGGCATTGGTAGTTATGATGAACTCGGATGCATTAACAGGTCCATTTCCATTCAGAACATTGTCCAAGTTGTACGACAGTGAAGCGCCAAACACTTCGAGAAAGTTTGCAGTTGGAATCTGCTCCAGCTGACGATATGTCTGAGTAGCAGAGAACATAGACCTTCCATCATAACTCCCAACAACCAGCTGTCGATCTTGGATCTCTGAACCAATTTCTCCTACTTCAAAAAGTGGCTCGTGATCAGGGCATCCGTTGCATTCCACATGGGCCTGGAAATAAGTTGTTGTGACACTTTGGGCAACAGCAGCATCATACTCTTCACTGGTCATATTAAGATGATTGGTGGCGTTCATGGTACTATTGGGACCCCAGTCGGTTTCCCAGTGCTCCAGGATTGCTTCATGCAAGACTCGCGTCATGGGATCTAGGCACATCCCAGTGATTTGGTTGTAGATGTCACGAAAGAGTCCTTCCAATGCCCAAGGGCGTTGCTCCAATGCCAGTGGTGGCAATGCTGCAATCTTGAGTTCGACAAATCCCACCTTCTTGGTGGTGACATCACCACAATCCGGTGGGGTGAAATTGGAGTACACTGGAGCAGTTGTGTTCACAACGGTTGCAGTAGACACTGCAGCTGGGCCACCGCCGCTGATATTAAAGGTGGGAGAATTCAACAATCAAAGAGATTAGCTACGTGATTGGGAGTTGGAAGACTAAACAACAAGATGCATGGCTTACCGGCGGCAACAGCAGCCCCTGCTTGAGCCGAGGCACCAGCTCCTGCAACTGCAGTCGCAGCACTCGCCATTGCTCCCTGCCATTACCAAGTAGCAAGCCAAAGGTTAAGGAGGGATCAATAAGAGAACTCACTTGCTTGAAGAGAGAATTATTCAAAAGCTTGGAGATTCAGATGGGTCCTTACACACACCACCAGCCAGCAGGCACCCGATAGCAGCACCAGCAGCAGCTCCACTTAGCTCCGGCGGATGCAGCACTGTTTGCCTAGGCACAGAGAAGGAAATGAGGATGGATGTTGGAGGCAAGATCATTTCATGAAAAAACGGGTAAGGTGAGAAATCAGTCTTCTGTGCTTACTGCAGCTGTAGCCATCTCGGTAACTCCTGGAGGAGGGCCAGGCGGTGCAACCATTCCACCTCCTCCGCCACGCTGCTCCACCGTTCGTGACCCACCCAGCACCGCCGAACATTAGGTTACCCACGAATCGCTCGATGTTCATTGCTGAGTCCTATTTGGTGTCTTCAGCTGCATTATCTGCAAGTTCTTCGGATACATCAGTGTTTTTAAAAACCACAAACAGACAGCATTCTTTGAGCGCCAAGGGCTTTAGAAGCAAATTCCAAGAATCTTTGGAAAAGATCATTTTGTAGATAGCCCATAAAGAATCCTATGAAGCCGTCACGTAGGGCTTCCTCCCTTGCCGCCGCTGAGTCAATGGAAGACACATCGTCTAGGCCCTCTTCTGAGATAGAGATATCGTCACCGTCAGCGCTGCCATTGTCGATGCCGGTCTCCGTGTCTTTGCTTTTGCCTTCGTCTCCATATCCTTGACCTGCATCTTCGTCTTCTAGCTGGAGCTTGTCATCGACTATCTCCGACTCGTCCAGATCGTCGAAGTCGTCATTGGATATCTCGTGAACGGCATCGCATTTGATACCTAGTTCGTTTCCGGCAGATTCCTTACCCTCGGATTCATTCTCACGAATGGCATTGCTGTGAAGGGTTGTCTCGATATCCTCTTCGCACAACAGGGTCTCGGTGTGGTCCTCTTCTTCTTCTATGGCCAAGGTTTGTTCGTCAAAGCTGTTCTGGACACGAACGGATCGTCTGAACGCCCTCGAGCTTTCCATCGAGCTTGAGTTCCCGATGGAGTCCCCTGTCATTGACCTGGACAGTGCAAGAACCTCGGAATCGTCCGCAGTAGGCGTCGACATGTCTGATATTATCCTTCGCTTCAATGACTAGAGAGGAAAACAGAAAAAACATCAAAGTAAACGTAGCGACGCAATCGATGATTTGGAGCGATCTGGTTTCATCAAATGGAATGGATCC